AATGTATTTTATGTAGGTAACAAATGTATGCCTACCTGACAAACAGGGTTTATTGTCTGGTATGCAGCTGAGTCTTCTCTGCCAGTATGGGCAGCGTTTCCTCCTCACCACAGTTCCAGCACACCAAAGGCAGCATCGTCTTCATCACCCCTGACTTCAGTCTGGCTGAATAGTAGTACTGTGCTACTGGTGAAGTGCATGTCACTGCACTACATGAAACAGGTGGAAAATTATGGAACAATAGTCAATTGTGCTAAAATCCAACTCTTCAGAAAATTTTTTTTTTTTCAACATAAAGGCTTAGGTTATATGTTGTAGTTAAATGTACATCTTTACTGTCCCCAAAGTGCCTTAAATTTAAAGGGTATATTCTGCAACAATCCATATCAAATGTACCTCACTACTCACCTGTGTTGTTATTGCTACATTGTTGTGTGCTCCCAGTCCCAGCATAGGCTGGAAACATCCACTCTTGCTGACCTTGTTCTCCTGATGCTTTCATCATACCTGTATACATGTACAATGTACATGTGAAAAGAAAAGTGAACCTTCTGTTCCTAGTTCACAATGAGTCTTAATGCAATCAAAGAAATGGAAGAGCAGACAACGTTACTAAATTGGATATCAAAGCTAAAATGATAGGGGGAAAAAGAATTCTTAAGAAAATTTAGACTAAAAACTCCCCCCCCCCAAAATAGTACTTAAAAAAGAGCTTTGAGCTTGAATGCGTAGTTTGTTGACAGCTATAGATGCCAAAATACCTTACAAATCCGACTGAAAATTAGCAATTTACGTGCCAAATGTGGACCAAAAATTTAAGAATAAAAAAACACATACATGTATTTTGCCAACATCAAGTATAAATAACCAGAAACAAATAAACGGTCATAATTATCCAAAATACATGCAAGGAGCCTTCATACATGTATGCATTTATTTTATACTCCCCTTCTAGGAATATTTCACCCGTGTTTTTTCCGTACAAGGTACTCGATTTAAAACAGACTTGTCATACCTCAAAAGCAGTCTTAGGCCTAGGAACAGCTTCAGTCGTAGCAGCTGTCTTGTCGATCACCATACGGATGAAACACCCGAACTGCCGGAGTAAACCTCAATGCCTCTCCCGACCTTCTCGTCATTTGCAGAAGAATATTTGCACTGTAGTGTGGCTGATCTTGACAAAACTTGCTTGAAATTGTATGGTCGAAACTCACTCGCCGCTACAAGTCCCTCGTACAGTTGCGCAAAAGTTAGCTCTCCCTGGCCTACATCGAGCGCGTACCAGTCAACAACAATGTTTCCGCACGCTTTCACAACCTGAACGCTCACATGGTCTCACATATTAGCGACCAAGGGTGGTGAGCCCACCATCTTGCTTCTTTGAACTGTGGCGCGCGGACTCTTGTGCGCACGTACACCATCATTTTGCGGCACATGTGCTCTTTACCCATTTCGCGTTACGGGTTTCACGTCAATCTGACGATTTGCAGCACTGTCGTGACTCTTTGGCCCAAGTTACAGGAAGCGGAATTTCTTGTTTTGTTTTCTAGGAACAGGCCAAAATCAATGCGCGCGCGGACGTCATCCATAAAATTTACTTGGTGTGGCCTATACAATATAACAAGGATAAGAGCAGGTAGGGAGGAGTGCAAATGCAGAAATTAGATTTCTTTAATTCTGCTAAACTTTAAATCTTCAAAAAGTAAGAAAAATTAGTTTTCTGTCAGTTCATATAAACACACTTGATTAAAACAAACAGTCAACATACATAGTCAAAATATTATTAATAATTCATCTTGATTTATAAGCAAAAAGTATTGTCTAAATGTTTGTTTCCTAGGACTGTCTAGAATTTGTCTCATGTAAAAACGGTATCAATTCATAATTTTTTGGATAACTATTTGTTCAACTACAGATTCTGTGAGTCACTGACAGAAGCTGTTCAAACCTCTGACAGTTTTCAAAATCTATTAAGTTGCTCGAGCATAACTTTTTCCATTGCAAAAAGTAAATAAGATAACGTTAGAGCCAAATTCAACATGTAGTCATTAGGAGGAGGATTGCTATGTAGTGCTGTGTCTGTGGTGTAGTGGTAGCACGCTGTGCACTGATGTGATCCCAGTGGTCCCAGGTTCGAATCCTGGCAGACACGTGCTGTATGTGATCTTCTTAAATTGTACATTGTACAAGTAAGTCTTGTATAGTCTATTCTGGAACCTAATTTCATAAAGAACTATTATTTTTTACTATTTGTAAATGCCAAATTCACCTAAACAAAAATGTATGTGTAATACAATCCAACCAGAAATACAAAAAAAAAGCTGCACAATTGTACAGTTTCATGTTTATGTCCAAATTCACTACTTGTATTAATCAGGAGAAATACAAAGGACTGTACATGTACTATAAATATAATATAATGCATAGAAGACTCCTGTTAATATGGTAAAGGTTTTGGGGTCGGCTTTAAGTTGAAAGGTGTTTTGCGGGTGTTTTGATAAACAAAACTGCTCAGACAGAAAAGATGCAGCGAAGCACCAAGTGTTTGTAATACTGTAGAATTCTGTTAGTGTCCTTTTCGGCACAGTGTCTTGTAGTAAATATATTTGATCATTGGCTATAGACTTCAATGTACAATGTATATATATTACAATGTTTTGGACCATTGGTTGTATGTACAGTAACTGCACTGTACAGTTCGGACAATCTTTGAGTATTTGACATTGTTCAATTCTCTTGCAACTTTGTGTGAATACATTTTCTTTCATTGGCAAGATCAAGAAGAGTTTTGTCAGCTTTTTTTGTCTTGTTCTGGACAAGTTTGGCAGTTTGTAAATTTGCATTTATTGAAAATGAAAAATAAACCAAATCCAAAGTTGACACGTAGTGTGCTGTCTACTTTTGCTACTTTAACAGGCAACCTTTTCACTAGCTACATGTAATGGCAAGCGACTAAAGTTGAATTTGCATCTGCTTGAAGATTACGATATGTTTTATGGATACGTGTTTGTGGCCTACAACTAATCAATCTCCAAGCAGATATTTGTGTGGCTGCAATACAGTATCAACTTGTCAAGTCAGTATCAAATTGGCCAGGCAGTATCCAATTCTTTCGTGGCATCCAATGATTAATGGGGGCGGCCAAAATATCTGCTTGGAGATTTGATTATACCTCACATTTTCATATTTCTTTACTGCACTATTTCAAATGTACATCAGCCGGGGGAGCATAACTACTTCCCCCTGAATTGGGTACCATTTGTCATATAAAAAAAAATTGAGAGACAATACATGAACATCTAAATGAGGTATATATATACAAAGACATATACAAAGTAATTAAAACATACACAATGTCCATACTGATTGCATCCAGTCAAGTCAGGTTCAGTTTATATTGAAGACCCAGAAGGTGAGTTGTTGTAAAGTCTGATGGCGCAATACAGGAAAGACTGCTGCAGTCGTTTGGTTCTTGCATAGGGAACTGTGATGTTGTGACCGTTCCTCAGTGCTCTTCCTGTGGCAGACTGTCTATGGGCAGGAACCAGGTCGTGCAGGGGGTGTTCAGGACTCAGCATGGCCTTGAAAAGAGACACAGCAGCGGCCTCTCTCCTCTCATTCAGGGACGGCATGCAGTGTCGGTGCGGAACGCCTGCCGCCTATAGCGAGAAAAGAGTCGTACTGCCGGCCCAACAACTGCCAACCTTGGTAAATTCAGGCCAGGTGACAGGCTTTCCAAGGTAAGGTCAGCCAACTCGCGGACATATGGCGACAGCAACCTATAACGAAGAGACCACAGGCAGGGAGGGAGTCGGTTTTGCCCAGTAGATATCTTTTAATTCGGCCAGATTGATTCAGTTGGGACCGCTCTTTCTTTTACTGAATTGTCAGTTCCGGCTTGAGCTCGAGTGGGCAGTCATTATTGGATGGCATTCCATCTACGTATCTAGCCTAGGTGCTGAAAAAATAGCACCTATGCTCCGCTCCGATCCGATCTTTATGCTCCCTTCGCAGCAACTTTCTGCAAAGCTCCAAGTCTGGTCATCGCACGGTCGCTTATCGGTGTACAGAAGGTCTCCGTTCTAACCGTGCTCTTCTACGCCAGCCTGCCAGGAGCGGTCGTGCTACTCGGACTCACGTACTTGTTTGAGACCCCGATTTGGGCGATGTCGGCACAAACGGTGGGTTATGTTATCGGACTGTGCCTGTGTGTCTGCGGCTCGCAATTTGCTACAAACCTGTCCCTGAAGACGGAAAAGGCGGGGATCACTGCCACCATCAAGACTTTCACCATACCGCTCACAGTGCTGTTGGACTACATCGTTCTATCGGAGTTGCCCAGTCCGCTTAAGTCTGGCGGTGTTGTACTCATAGTGTTCGGTACCGGTGTAGTGGCGGTGTATACATGGTGGAGACATCGCAAAGAAACCCTTCACAAAAATTTCATGCAGAGCTTGGACTTTGATAAGTACTAGTAAGTCATCAACGCAAGTGTATAAAACGTGTTATTGTGTTTTTTACTTCTAATAAATAGCTCTATACTTAACAGAAATATATGTAAAACTTTGTTAACACAACAAAAGTAGTGCGACTTCCGTAAGGTCTAAAACTGCCTGTAAATATACAAATACATGGGTAGAACGAAAATATAGGACCAAGGAGGTTATTAGAATACAAGTATTTAACCTCCTTGATAGGACAAAGGCGTGTTTTGTACTGTTTTTACTCCGTGAAGGAGGTCAGGACCTCCGGACGGAGTGTTGTGATCGGCTGATTTTTCATGTTCGCAGTCAAAACACTGGGTTCTCTTTGTGTAATCGGCACGCAATTTTATACGCCGTCTGCGGGCATGCCCGTGTTGATGCACGAATGTGTATTTTTGCCGTTGCTGCTTTCGCGGTCAATGTAATATTGCAGACGCACCCCTACAATTACGAGGCGAATTGGAATGGTCCAGAAAAACGCGTTGTTTGGAATAGCAGTGGGGGGGTGGAACTTCATGCAGATACGGGGTGGTTTTGATAAGTGGTTCCAGATGTTTTTGCCCATGCTTAAGAGATGCCAAGTTTTTTGGAAGATGTTCGCAGCCAAAACGCATTCTTCCGTACGTCGCATTTCTGTGAAATTTCGCATGTGGTGTGGCATTATGTCCGGGATGATGCACGTCTTTTTATTTTTACCGTAGCTGTTTTGATATTGAAGTAAATGCATATTTTAGAAACATCCCTACTTTTACAATCCTGTGGAATAGGCCGTAGGTTTAGGCAGTTGTCTGGTAGCAGAGGTACTGTAAGCAGATATCCTGGTTATCTGGCCGGCGGTAGAAACACTCGCGGTGCTTACCGCAACTGTTGCTGGAATTTGGCCTGTTCCAGGCGCGCTTAATTAGGTACAGGCACGTTAAGACGGTGGGGCTGTCTTTGTTACTAGACACGACCATGATAGTCCGATCTTTATGTGAATGCAATGATTGTGTGTGTGTAATTAGAATGAACTTCGAACTTGAAGCACAGTATCTTTACACGCAATGGGAGCAGTAATGGATTTAGCTCTTTGTATGTTTTATGCTTGTGACGCGCCCTCATTGTATTAACCGTTGCCTAATTATAATGTCTGCACAGTAGGTCTAGCCTAGGTATCCAGTCTGATCGTGATTGGGGGTATTGGGGTGTTCAGGCAGGTTGTGTCGTCGGGGGCTCTAAGAGCTTCCCTCGCCCAGTGCAACAGACCGTCCCGGTAGGAGTGTTACGCTAATCAGAGACAGTATGCTTGGGGATTTGGTTTCCCCCAACACGATAGGAGGGCTAATTAATCTCTCGTGAAATACACACCGGGAAACCTATGTGAGGCGGGCGGGCCAGAGCTCTTACGGCCCCGACCACGATCAGACTGGATACCAGGTTACAGTAGGTCTGGCGTTGACGCTTGTTTTTGTTGAAATGTATAAAACTTCACGGAGGATTGTCACCTATGGCTTCTTGTTGTTGTTGTTTTTGTCACTACCCCCACCAACCCGTCGGTGGCTGGCGACCTTCTCTGGCTAATGGATACTGCCTGGCCAATTTGATACCCGGGATCTGCTTGGAGATTAGTATGAAGCCCAATGTCTGACTGGAGTTCGCTTTCATGGCACTGCAAAGTTTTTTTCACCGATACAGTGGTGTGACTTGGTGTTTGTGATCTACATGTAACGTTAATACTTTGTGCAATTGATTTGACATTGTAACACTAGGGCTGCGTACCTAAATGAAACATCAGGTACAGGTAACGTTACTGGTACAGGGTTTTAGGTACAGGTGCCTCAACAGTTTGACAAATTAACATATGTTCTTCTGAACTTCCTCAATAACATTACTACATACATGCATGAGCTGTCTTAGGCCGTGTCTAAACGGAATCACCCAAGTCGGTTTACATGTAGATTACCCCGAAGTTGGTTTCAAGTGGCTCCAAGTGAACGCCCCGAAATCACATTGAAAGCGCCTCGATCCCAAGCCACTTCTAGAGGTGGTTTCGAATCGGTTTCCCCGCATCGCGATTTGCGTCTGAACGCAATGTGATTTGTATGTGACTTCGCCTGGTCATGGATTACGGGGTGATATTTCTTTATTTATATGCAGTACCAACTTTTACGTGGCAGTAATGGTCAAATAATGTGTCCGTTCTAGGGCGAGCTTCACCGCCTCTGGCGGGACCACGTCGGCATTCGGCCGAGATACGCTGGGAGGGGGGCATCAGCAAGCAGGTCGTTGACCTCTGATATTAATAACACGCTACCTTGCGTGTTTTCATCAAACAGCAATAAATGTAGCTCAAGCGTATTGTGTTCGGACACGGTTTCACAGACGCGGTTTCACAGGAGTGTGTGGCACGTGGACCAGATGTGAGGAATGTGAGTTACCCGAATCGCGGTTTGGGTGATTCCACTTAAACACGGCCCTAGTGTCTATAGTTATGCGTGACAGGTGTCACCTGAAGGATGAACTGAACTGTCTCTAGTTAAGGTGTCCGTAAAAGTCAGACTTCTACAGTGTACTCGATCTTTTGGCTTCCAGAGAAACGATTTTACTGCTTAGCTCGATAGCAATGTCCTGCAAATTGTACCCTACGGTGGGTGAGTTTTTGAGATAGCCTCGTAAGACCCCCATATATTGTTATATTAACAATGTTATATAACATTAAAAACAGTAATTGACAATGATTTTTATTCAGATAGAACAGGGCAAACAAAACAACCATGTGGACTGTTATACTCACACTGTATGCAACAGATCAAGAACAGCTAAGTATGCTCCTAGCTGTCAATGAGTGTGACTGAAGGGGAGATTCTCTCTTTTAAGTTGGCACCACAGCAATGGACGGTTCTAGCCTGGTTACCAAACCTATTATAGCTCCCGAGTCCTACATCCTCTCTTGATTT